CGTGAAAAAATATAATCTAAAGAGATAGCAACTTCAATAGAGAAAAATTTAAAAGACATAACTAAAACTATGGTCATTTTGCCGCATCCTATTCTATTTAAAGTCCATCACATTTTCTACCAATTTGTGATCTGTGTGCTGATCTTTGTTGATATTGTCTATGTGTATGTGTCTGGTTGTCTTTGTTTAAATTTCTGTGTTTTTTTCGAATATTAGTGGTTGATGTGATCTGTTGTACTTTTCTCAGTATTTTGTTGATTCTTGTTATTCTTTTTCTGTTTTCTAAACAGGTTTATCTAATTACAAATACAACATAAAACAAACAAAAAAAAAAACAAAAAAAGAAAAAACGAACAAACTTACATAGGTCCATGGCTTGTGTCAGGAACATTGAGTGTATATGTAAGGGAGTTAAATAAACGAGCAGACAAGTTTTTGAATTAAAACAATAAGGCACAATTGCACATTTTCTTTAGATAACGAAAGATAAAAATGTATTGGACGTTTGGTAAATATAATAATCTAAACACAAATGAAATTTAACATTATTATTATTATCCATATATAACTATATTAATTCTACATTGGCTAGAGGTATAGGGGAAGGGTTGAGATCTCACAAAACATGTTTAACCCCGCCGCATTTTTTGCGCCTGTCCCAAGTCAGGAGCCTCTGGCCTTTGTTAGTCTTGAATGAATTTTTTTTAATTTTAGTTCATTTATATGTTTCGGAGTTTAATGTGACGTCAATTTTCACTGAACTAGTACACATTTTTCCTTAGGGGCCAGCTGAAGCCCGCCTCCGGGTGTGGGATTTTTTCGCTGTGTTGAAGACCCATTGGTGGCCTTGTGCTGTTTTCTGCTCTTTGGTCGGGTTGTTGTCTCTTTGACACATTCCCTATGTCCATTCTCAATTTTATTTATTATTATTACAGTATAAACAGAAAAAAATGTTCGTATCAAAATTCTTGCTTTGGTTTACTGTAATGTATTTTGTTTTAAAATTAGCGACGTTGTATCAAACAACAACTTATGAATTATTAATGTAACCTCATCAAAACCAACAATTCTTTATCTATATAAAAATAATAAGATGTGGAATGATTGCCAATACAACTTTAGGTCACCGTACGGCCTTTATAATGAGAAAAATCGATACCTCATATACAGATATAAAGGAAACCCGAAATAATAATAAATGTAAAACAATTTAAACGAGAAAACTAATGGCCTGATTTATGCACAAAACAATGACCGAAAAACAAATATGATATACAGCAACAAACGACAACCACTGAATTACAGGCTCCTGACATGGGACAAGCACATACAGAATGTGGCGGGGTTAAACTAGTTTGCTGGCGCCAAACCTCCCCCTAACATGGGACAGTAGTGCAACAAAACAATATAAGAACAAATTAAAAAAAAATCAGTTGAAAAGGGCGTAACTCATCAGATCGATACAGGGCAGAAAAACAGACCGGACGTGGCAGTGTATTTATACATTCCAACAACAAAAAAGACACTAAGTACAGATCTGAGAGTACTCGCAGCTAGTTCAAAGCCAATAACAACTAATACAAATCATGCATCTAAGACTAAAATATCAATCAGTACACACCCAACATCCAATGGATTTAGTGTAAAGACGTCATTAGCAGTAAGAGAAAAACATGACCTTGTACAATGCCAAGATACAGATATCGATAGATTGTAGAGCTATGAATGTGCATATGTATATAAAAATAATATTTAGTTTGATTTGAATTTACCGATAACGAAATCAATATTTATACCAATAAAACAATATTCAAATATCTAATAACAGTGTTGAATTGGTAACCTTTTAGAATAAGGTTATTTAAAGATCGATAAGTTTCACGGATCTTATCTAAATTTCCGGTCTCGGTAAACAACATCTCCGTAAAATTAAACATAGTTTACGTTCATGGAAATCCAAAACGTCATAACAAACACGGGCATATCGAACGAGTTGTGATATATATATATATATACACCGTAAGATGGTTCCAAAGGAACATCACTGTCCAAAAAAGGAAACTAACGATAGGGAACAAAAAATCTTCCCTTTTGACGTAATTTTTTGTGAAGAGCGTCCCGTGTAAAACTGAAATATCTAAATATAGGAAAGAACAGTTATTACCGTTTATATTTGATTTATTTATAAAGTAAGCTGTTTGGGTAAATTTCGGCCATATATTTAGAAAATACTTGATTATCTAACGGAACAATATCATCAAGATAACGGTAAGTATAGTTGAATTTGATGAATTAAATGCAATTTATACAGGTATTTACTGAGTTTGGTCATAAACTGATTTATAACAGTACAAGTACAAGTCTGCTATTAAAGGAGCGTAATTGGTGCCCATAGGAATACCTACAACCTGTCGATAAACTTTATTTCCGAAACGTACATAAATGTTATTAAGGGTAAAATTAACAGCTTCAATCATCTCACCACACCTCCAGTAAGTATATCTAGCATATGTACCTTTCTCATTAGAGAAGAAGGCTTTTAATGAGTTGCGGCAAATAAGAGTTAATTCCACTATTTTCATATATTTTATTACAAAAGTTAATGATAAGTTCTTTGATAGTAGTTAAGGAACTAGTTAAAAGCGCTGAAAGACTAGTTGTAGAACACTTACGAGTTTAGGTAACTAATACACAGTAGGGACCTTCAAATGTTCACAAGAGGCCTTAAGCTGTGATGTGGTATTGATATGAATGTTTACTAAATGACTCTCTCTAGGGCGCACGGATTTGAATGTAGAAGAATTTGAAATTTCTTTCTTAAGAACTTCCTTGTAGTATTAAAGACATACCACTACCACATTGTTGGCTGTTACAAACACAAATCGCTTTGCAAGTACTTTGATTTGTTTCATATTCTAGAAATGGGCGTATTATGTTTCTGAATTATTTTCAAAATGTGGTATTTGAATATCCACAGCATTTATACATATATATATATATATATGCATGCAAAACAAATTTCTTGTTAGAGGGGTCTAAATACAGCACAACAACATTTTCCAAAAGACCAAAAAAGTGAAAAAGTATATTTTAACAAAACGCATTTGACTAACAGGTCGAACAACAAATGTTCTTAAACCCTGCTGACTGCCATTGGCGATTGCCAAATAAACGGATCACCGATGTAATAAATGGATCTTAATTATAAATTTAATACTAAACAGAAAACAATAAATTTGCGAAAAAGATGGTATACCGCAAACAAAAGGTGCAAAGGTTTTTGTACACCATATCCGGATTTCGACAATTAATGTCTCTTCAGTGATGTTAGGAATCGAAACGATATTTGGAAAGCCATACAATTTACCTCAATTTAGGATAGACTCTTGAATTTTGAGGAGTCAAAATAGGATATATATATATATTTAATAAGGATCAAGAGATTATTCATTCGATTTTGTCCGTTTACACCAATTTATAAAATACGATGAAAGAGCACTGTCATACAAGTGAGAAGTTTAGCTGGTCATAAAACCAGGTTCAATCCACCATTTTGTACATAAGGAAATGCCTGTACCAAGTCAGGAATATTACAGTTGTTTTTCATTCGTTTAATGTTTTTGAGCTTTTGATTGTGCCATTTCATAAAGGACTTTCCGTTTTGAATTTTCCTTGGATTTCGGTATTTTTGCTATAATGATTTTACTTTTTATGACCTGACGACAAGTTGTTTCCATTGTTGATGGAGGACGATTTTTTTGTCCTTTTTCAAAACGTTTTTAACCTCTCAGTCTTGAACGATATTGAGGTCTCCCGTAATAAAATGACCATAGGGATCATATCTGAAATTCGACGATTCAGTCTCAAGTTAGAGGATTATTATTTTCTACACAGACAACTTATGTTACTGATGTAAATTAAAAATCAAACTTCTGCTAGGTTTTTTTTGTATGTATACGAAATAATAGGTGGATCTGTGTAATCAAAATAGGGAGGTATATAAGTTTTAAAAGGTAGTCAGTGCAACTTTACAACTTGAAAGTATGTGTGTCATCGTACTTCTTTTCCCACAGAACTTGCAGCCTGGTTCTTCTATCAGTCCCTAAGACTGACCTAAGCATGAATGAAATTCTGAATGGTTCCATCCTCCATAACTCTACCCATGTGATCTTTCTTACTGGCAAGTTCCACTTCATACCATGCTCCTTGCCGGCTTAACTCTACTGATTTTGCCCTCCTTTGTTCTTCTTCTACTTCTCTTATTTCTGACTGCACCATGCTGCATTTCTCTTTTGGTGTTGCCTTTGACCACTGTTGGAAATGTGTCATTCCTAAGCCCTGTCTAACAGTACAGGTGTTGCCGACTATGTCTCTGTGATGAAGAATACTTTTTGTTTGATCTACTGCAGTTTTCGTCAACCATTTTTGCCCAGTACATGTCTGGATTCCACTTTTACTGATCATGTTATCCTTTGAGTCTCTGAGAGTCATTACAAGTCTGCTCTTTGATACCTTGCAGTCCTCCAAAGTTGATGTTAAAGGTAGCTGGATTTGTGATAATCAACTGTAAAGAACTATGGCTGTAAAACTTTGTGGTACTCCTAGCCATCTTCTGAGGTAACTGTTTATCTTTATGTCTTCGACTGTTGTTGCTGTCATTTCATAGATCATTACTCACTTGGAAATTAAGTATGAAAATGTCAAATATGTTTATATATAGACTGTTTTCATGGTCTAACAATCTATTAATATTAAAATGCGGACTATTCAGACTATATTTAAAATGGATTATATGACAAAAATGACAAAATAAGTTACTCCTTTTCAATTCTTTCAAATAATAATTTTGAATACTTAAACAAAAAACAAGGTACTTCGCCTGTTTGTACCTAACAGGTAAAGATGTTTTGTCGTGTATTATAAATATTGACCATTACCAGGGATAATCCTTTCATGTTATATTTAAACGTTACCTGTCATATTTTAAAAATAGACAGGAAAATACACATACAAAGTAAACAGTGAATTATTTCGTATTTGGACATGGAGCTTCATAATGTTTTTGTTTGATTGGTTTAGAAGTATACTGCAGTATTTTGGTATGTATTTGTGGTGACTTTTCCATAAACAATATTATGACTATTAACTATTTGCTTTTGTTTTGGGTTTATCAATAAGATATGAGGTTCATATTGTTCACCGCCACTTTTGCAAGCGATTGAAATTTTGAAAATAAATGAGCTGATTTTATCGAAAACCAAAATGATTAACAAGACATTAGTTGGAAATGTTTCTAAAGTTTTATTACACTGATGAGCGCCATCGGAATCAAAGAGTTTTCACATATGTAAAGCTCTTTCAAGGATATATTAATTTAAATCATTTTAAGCGGATCGTTGTGCAAGAGTTGCTGCTTATGTAGAGGGAAGTAAATGGAGGCCTTACAAATTGTTTAAAAATGATAAGTGTACGGAATTTTATTTGAAAAAATGTTCTGTTAATTAAACATAGAAGTACTTGTACACGCTTAAGATGGGGGGTGGGCGGGGTGGAGGGGATACGCCCCCATTGATCCCCCCAAACATATCATGTTTTTCACGATTTACATAAAATAGTCCAAAAAATGTATATATTCAGTTTTTGGGAAAAACACCCTTCCTTCCACCTCTGCAGGTACATTAAAACAGCATGATGAGTATCCTTTCTATTCTTTAAACAATGTAGTAATACCAATCAATGATGTATAGTCTAACCCTTGAATTTCCAATATCACAATTATATAAGTTTATACACCCTTGCAGGTTTTATTAACACGAAATGCAACTTGCTTATCCTAGGACTACACGATGCAGGAAAATCCACTCTCCTGAGTCGGCTGAAAGATGGACGTCTAGTTCAACATACACCAACAAATCATCCCTGTAAGTTGTACATATATAAGTATTTTCCCGCTTTCTCTGCCAATCTTTATCAGTGAATAATTACATTACATGTATGCTTCACGAGAATCCGTTAGTTTGATTGGCTAACAACAATTAATCTTCATATCAAAATGAAATGTTACATTCGTGATGACACGTGTTTCCACAAAAAAGTGCACAGATAAAGAAAAGAAAAACTTGATAAAACGTTTTTTTCATGTTCTGAGCATACAAATGTAATTATAACAAATGAATGCTTCTTTAAGTAATTTGATAGGATTGTGAAAGTGTTGATCGTGCACACATTTCAGTGGCGTAGCAAGGCCATTTTTAAGTGTACGCACGAACCTCGGCGAGTGGTCTGATGGCCGCCCCCCAGCGAACCCTGGGCAGAGGACCTCCGGGTAGGGGGCGAAACCCCCATAAGCTCACGCGTTATCGTGAAAAAGATACCATTTCTGTCATTCAAAATTCACCAATAGCAACATACTTGGTCGGTTGAGAACAAAACACTTTACTACTTAAGAGATGATTTCAGCTTCACAGTTGTGAAATTTCCATTTCTATGTAGCAACATTCCAGTAGAACCTGCATATGGAGTATATATCTCCCAGTTGATACGATATTTCAGAACTTGCATTTCTCATCATGATTTCCTTGAATGAGATTGCTACTTACAAAGAAGCTATTAAACCAAAACTTCCAAGTGGTGAAGTTGAAAGAATTCCTTCGAAATTTTATGATCGCTATCACGAGTTGGTTGACTGTTTCACTGATGACGACGGACGTGTTCCATGACGCCACAATGGCGTCCTCTTTTCCTCGAATATGACCTACCGAATTAGACTTATCACCAAGTTTTTACTTACATGAGCAACACGACGAGTGCCGCATGTGAAACAGGATATGCTTACCCTTCTGGAACCCTGAAATCACCCCCAGTTTTAGGTGGTGTTCGTATAGTCAAGTCTTTAGTTTTCTATGTTGTCTTTTATGTAATGTTGTTTGTCTTTTCGTCGTTTTTCGTCTTTTGAAATGGCATTGTCAGTTTGTTTTCTACTGATGAGTTTGAATATCCCTTTGATATCTTTCGCCGCTCTTTTAAAGTTTGATTTGGGTTTTTTTCATGTTAATTTCATTGTCTTGATATGGAATATAATGGTCCTTTGTTTTTTGAGAAAAATGTCCAAACCAGTTACTCTAGAATATGTTTAAAAGGAGATGTTGGGTAAACCAAATCAATCGACAAAAAATCAAAACTGTATAAAAATAGGAAAAAAAAGCAAGTTCTATTAATTATTTTAACTTCATATAATTTTCACACCTTTTTACGGGAAAATTTCGTTAATGGACGCATGAAATAATTAATTTTCATAGATGGTCAGGTGTAACATAAAAATTCAAGCCACAGATGTTTTATCCCAACAGATACCAAATTGCTTTAAACAATAGTAATCTGAGTAGAATATGCACAGTAGATTCAAAGTTTGACAGAAAATGAACAAATTTGAATAAAAAGTAAATTTCGTCACTTTTATCTTCAGTCATCAAAGAAAACATTACAATTGCTCGTGTGCTTTAAACAGTTCCTTTAATTTATCTGGATCAAAATATTTTCCCCTCCAAAATTCATGTGCACGCCCGGGCGTTTTGACGTAAACGTAGCTACGCGCCTGCATTTTTAGAATGAGGCGCTTCCGCGCTTCAAACAAAATGTGCTTCGTTCAACACTTTTACATCCCAATAAAATTACAAAAAGAAGCATTCATTTCTTAATTATGGTGTTATATATATATATATTGAGAAACTATACCCCTTTACATCGGGGGCAAACACCAGCGAGGTATTAGTGTTTGCGTCATACAAACACAATTTGTATGGAGCGCAGAAGCACAATTCGATGGAGCGCAGACATAATGAATTTCTAAATATTTTTATGAAGTTTAATGTTTTTATATTCATGCTGACAGTTGTACAGATTCCAAATACACCCAGCAACCTCAACCCACTTATATTGAAATGCACAAGATTACCTGGTCAACAGTACAAAAAAGGTCAATGATGATAACATAATGAACTTAGTATATATTACATTAAAAGGATAACAGGAATCACGAATAATATACGACAATACATCAGACCTCATCAACACCAATACACAAATTATTCGACAACAACAGACATACAACAAATAACACAAGGTCCTGATCAAAATAATTTGTAATTATACCCCGCTTTAAAAAAGTGGGGGTATACTGTTTCACCTCTGTCCGTCCGTCCATCCGTCCATCCGTCAGTCCGTCCATCCGTCCCATGAATATTTTTCGTCTTATCTTTCTCATGAACTACATCATTAGGATTTCTGAAATTTGGTTTCAGGGTTTATATAAGTCAGCTATACCGTGTGATGCGTTTTCAGATTCATCACTCATTAACTCCCTGTTTACCGAACACTTGCATATTTTTACACTATTCAAATTGATGGTTTCTTATCGTCGAGTTGCAAGTTACGAGTTGAAAAGGCTGAGTTGCGAGTTACAAAAGTCGAGTTGGGAGTTACGAAAGTCGAGTTGCGAGTTACGAAGGTCGAGTTGCGAGTTACGAAGGTCGAGTTGCGAGTTACCAAGGCCGAGTTGCGAGTTACAAAAGTCGAGTTGCGAGTTACGAAGGTCGAGTTGCGAGTTACTAAGGCCGAGTTGCGAGTTACAAAAGTAGAGTTGCGAGTTACGAAATTCGAGTTGCGAGTTACGAAGGCCGAGTTGCGAGTTACGAAGGTCGAGTTGCGAGTTACCAAGGTCGAGTTGCGAGTTACCAAGGCCGAGTTGCGAGTTACAAAAGTCGAGTTGCGAGTTACGAAGGTCGAGTTGCGAGTTACCAAGGCCGAGTTGCGAGTTACAAAAGTAGAGTTGCGATTTACAAAAGTCGAGTTGCGAGTTACGAAGGCCGAGTTGCGAGTTACGAAGGTCGAGTTGCGAGTTACGAAGGTCGAGTTGCGAGTTACGAAGGTCGATTTGCGAGTTACAAACATATTATGTTTCTCTAATTTCTTAAGAATTATATATAATTGTATAAACGGTCGTGTCGTCTGATTTTTGAAACAGAATTTTCAGGTTTACTTCGCATTTAATAAACAAAACATACATGTACCCGACCTTAGTTATACACTGCATGAGGAAGGGTCCCGATATTTTGATTGCAGGATTTGAAAGAGTTATGTGATACTTATTTATAAGAGCCTTTCTGTTGCAAAGTCACGCACGCTTAAATTTCTTTCATGAGAGCGACATTGTTCATTTGCTAAAATAAAACAGGATATACTGTGATACAAGAAAAAACGTATACCGTGCTGAACAAATCAAGCATAAGAAAATAAATTATGTAGACAAATGAAATATACTTGCAAATTATCGACATCTCACATAATATTGCACTGTGTTAGGCCTAAAGTAAATACTTATCAAAGGTACAGGCTTATAATATTTTATACGCCAGACGCGCGTTTTGTATTTACAAGATTCATCAGTGACGCTTGAATAAAGGATATTCATTAGCATACCAAGTGCTAAAGCTTCGTCTTCCGCAAAGGTTTAGGGTGATATAGGCACAATTGCACATTTAACTTAGGAAAATATCTCATGAATTAGTCTGAAATGTGATATGCTATGTGCTTTATGTGATAAATTGAATAATTTTGAACTTTGTTAACTTTGTGATTCAACCCGAAGTGGAGAGTTAATAATCGAGTTGTGCAATGTATGTATATATATCTGAATACTACAACGCAAAAATAAGCATGCTATAGATGTCTTTCTATGGCATTATGGTAACTTCCTGGCATAGGAGATCATAATATGGATTTTGTTTTTTAATTTGGAAAGACGTTATTCTACAATTAGCTACACCACTGTTACAAAAAATAAAGGAACAGTTTTAAGGAATGTTATGGCGTGTGTTTTTACGGTATGAGCACGGAAGCCTTGTCTGTCACAAGTTTACTTTTTTACCTGCATGCAGCCTTGATGCAAATGTTGTAGTTTCAGATATCAGCTTGGTATTGTACATTTTTGTATGATTAACCGTTTTTTAGAAAGAAGTTACATATTCCAAAACTGCGTCTTTTGTCTCTTTTACAAAAGTATCTTTGACAGCTACATGTATAGAATAAAGAATGGAAACGGGGAATGTGTCAAAGAGACAACAACCCAAACAAAATATATAAGTCAACCCAAGGCCACCAATGGGTCTTCAACACAGCGAGAAATCCCACACCCATAGGCAGCCCCGAGCAGGCCCCGAAACACTATGTACACTAGATCAAGAAAATGGACGCCATTCTATGCTCCAAAACATATAGATGAACCAAAATAAAAAAAATATACAAGACCAACAAAGGCTAGAGGTTCCTGACTTAGGACAGACGCAAAAATGCAGCGGGGTTAAACAGGTTTTACGAGGGCTCAACCTTCCCCCTTCACATATTTAACTTAAACGTCCACAACTTTGAGCGTCACTAACAAATATTGCCTCTGCAGCTGCCCCAAAGAGCCCACTCTTAACGAAATCTGCAGAAGAGGTATTTTACATATATGGAGAGTTGTCTCATTGGCACTCATACCACATCTTTTTATACCTATATCGTTTAGTTGCTATCTCACTTTACGTTTAATATGAAGGTGCTAGCGATGAAATTTAATAATAATTCATTAAACTCCAAGCCATCCGCTGTATTTCAAAAGGCTATCTGTTTCTTCAGAAAATAACCATACTTTGCGTAGTGATTATGTAAGCAATTCATTCGATTTTTTTTACACGATGAAGTCCTAACAACAAAAAGAATCAACAATACTGTATACAATTCTATAAGCAATCATCTTTCAAAAATGTTAAAGAGGTACACTAAAAAATTAAAATAGTTTTCCCCATTTTCACGCAAATCTAATTTCGTAACTCGCAACTCGACTTTCGTAACTCGCAACTCGACCTTCGTAACTGGCAACTCGACTTTCGTAACTGGCAACTCGACTTTCGTAACTCGCAACTCGACTTTTGTAACTCGCAACTCGACTTTTGTAACTCGCAACTCGATACTCGACAACAAGTGAATCTCATTAAAATTATCCAGTTGCGGCGGGGGTATCATCAGTGAGCAGTAGCTCGCAGTTTCACTTGTTTAATTAATTTTGTAGGGTCAGAAGAGTTTACAGTTGGTAAAGTGACATTTGAAGTGTATGATCTAGGAGGTCACATATTAGGTAATTATCATAGCGCAGTTAAAATCTGTGAAAAAGAAGGTACAAATGACAATCAAAAATCGTGAGTTGAAGGAAAACAGTCAATTCCATTGGAAAATAATGGTATACAAAGCACAAAACAGAAAATTCAAGACTGACCAACTAGAACCCAAACAAATACTATGGAGGATCTAAGATGACCGGTAGGATAAGCAAATCTTGATCAACTGGTGCCAACCGTCGTATTGCTAATGATCATTGAAAATTCGGTGATAAGTCGGGTTCGATTAAGAAAAGAAGACCTGATTGTAGCTACGACAATATGCAAAAAGAGGCGGAAGATGATGGAGGGATGGCTGCTTTACGTCCAGTGGAAAATAAAGCATATTCCGGACGAGAACATGATAATTGATATAAATATAAACCCTGCTTTGTACTAGAAGAGAGGCGAAAGATACCAAAGGGACATTCAAACTCATAAGTCGAAAAAAAATGACAACGCCATGGCAAAAAAGAAAAAAAAAAGAAACAGCAGTATCTAAGACTGAGCAACAGGAACCCCACTAAATCCGGAGATGATCTCAAGTGCTCCGGAAAGTTTAGCTGATCCTGCTCCACATTTGGTACCCGTCGTGTTGCTCATGCAAGTACAAACCCGGTTATAAATTTAATTCGGTAGGTCACATTCGGGGAAAAGGAGGACGAGGTTGTGGTTACGACGATTGGAACATATCCGTCGTCATCTGTGAAACAGATATTCCATAACGGTCAGTCAAACAACTCGTGATGGCGTCCTTAAAAAATCGAATGAATAGTTCAATAGACCGACACGCTGAGTCAATTTGTTAATGTACTAGTTCACAAGGTGAAAAGTAAATAGGAAAGTTCCTTATCAAATGGCAAATCAAGAGCTCAAACACATCAAACGAATGGAAAACAACTGTCATATTCCTGACTTGGTACAGGCATTTTACTATGTAGAAAATGGTGGATTAAACCTGGTTTTATAGCTAGCTAAACCTCTCAGTTGTATGACAATCGCATAGAATGCCATAATATTGACAACAATGTGTGAGCAAAACAAACAGATATAATGGGTAAAACTGTCAAAAATTGGGATACAGCAGTCAACATTGTGTTATAATGTTAATCACTGTAAAAACAAACAACTATATCAAAAAAGAAAAACAAAATGGCATATAGACACTAAATACAAAGCACACACGCAAACAGTCCGCAGGAAGACATTTCAACCTCGGAAAAATTATTCTTACTCCGAGCCAACCAGTTTTTGCACTTACTCCTAAATGCCGCTTGCTTAGTGGAGAAGCAGCAAATACCAATTTTCAAATTTTTGGTTTGACCCGGCTGATTTTGAACCCGCAACCTTACGCACTCGAAGCGACACCGATACCACGAGACCACCGAGGCGGTTAACAGGCGAAAGATACCAAGGCGATAATCAAAACAATGACAACACCATGGCAAAAAACGTATAACGACGAAAAGACGAACAAGTTTATATAGAAAACACTACATAAAAAACTAAAGACTGAGCAACAAAATTTAATGACCCGCAAAAACTGAGGTTGATATCAGGTGCTTCGGAATAGTAAATAGATTATGTTAAAACACTAATTGCACGCCATCGTGTTGTTCATGGTAAGTGCACACTCAGAGATGTCAAAATCGAGGAAAACAAGCGGAAATATTCGTGGTCATCTGTGAATATTTCTTTACAGCCAACCGAAACGAAAAATTGTTAAAGCATAAACGTTTTGTTATCATTGCATTTTGTAATTTTGTAACTCTTAAGTAAATATCAGCCTTTTCTTTAATGCATTAAATTGAAAAATTCTTGCTTTTTTTTATTTCAATTTAATTATTGAATAGATGTAATAAACCTGTTAAAACAAATTATTTTCCTAACAGAATACCGGCAACGTGTACAGTTTTTACGCTATTTTTTTATAATATCAACGGAATCGAGCTCGATACACCGAATTACGGACGCAAAATTCCGCTATGAGAGAAAAGCAGTTGAAAACAGTATGACAAAACCACAGTTCATTGTTACGGCTATGACATATACATTTTAGTCACTCAATGAATCGCAAGTGATTTTCAAGTCATTGAATCTTAAATTTGAAGCTTACATGTTTCGAACAAAGTTAAACCTGCACATTCTACATATTAATGAACAGTCAATTGTTATGATCCAAGAATTATTACAGCACTAAGTTTTTGGAGAAGATATATCCCAGCAGTTAAAGGTATAGTGTTTATTGTTGATGCTTCGGACTCTCAGTCACTACCAGAGGCGAGACAAGAATTAACTGTAAGTAATAAAATACTAGTTCATATACATGAAAAATAACTTCCAGACTACCAGCGGCTTGGCAAAAAAATGAAAGTAAGCAATGTAATATTACTTCAAGCACATGGAAGATCAAGTCGCTGGGGTGATAAAATATTCATAATATTTAAGTTTAAACACTGTGCTTACAAAGTCAGAATAAAGACTACTAGTATTCATTTTAAATCTGAAATCTCGACTGTCATCAAACGATAAACGCAGAAAACAAACTATCATAACTTCGGAATTGACTTTTTGGTTATTTGTGTCATGCGGTTAAAGTGATCCACGTAGCCTTCAATATCTATGTACTTTGTCTAAAATATGTCTTAGACAAATTTGCATCTTTTTTCAAGGCCTTGATGGAATTTATTCCCAGAAGAAAAGGACAAATAGTAAAATGCTATTTTTTCATTTTTATTCGGAAAAACTAAATTCTTCTCAACAAGATAAATACCGTATTCTTTGTTTTAAAGACCATTTTCGACTAAGACGGCTTTGAGGAACACAGACACTTACAATGACAAAAACAGTGTATGAAGTTCGATAATATATGTATTTATTACTAAGAATATTCAATTATAAGCACACAGACGATTCAAACCAAATAAACATTTTATGAGAAATACTAGTCTTAATCAACTTTGAAGGTAATAACATTAACGGTACCAGATGCGCGTTTTGACAAAACCTGTTTATTCGGTGATGCTCGAGGCAATCATAAATTGAATTTCGAAACCTAATAAGCAATGATCTAGTGGTAGTTATAACACAAATGATACCAATTTTACTGCTCCAGATGCGTATTTCGACAAGTTATGTCTCGAGATCTTCATTGATGCTCGGTAAAAAAGTACCAAAAGTAAAGCCGAACCAGGACCAGAAATCAGAGCCATGTATGACGAGTTAACATTCCTGAATTTAAAATGACGCAATAGAAAAATTTTATAACAGCAAATTCCAATAAAACAATATCCATATATTCTTATCGAAGTACTGCCATCTTGAGCTGGATTTATAGTACAACCACAGAGGTATAGACGAATTGTTATAATAACATTAAAAGTACATATTTTACTGCACCAGACTCGCCTATTGACAATAAATGTCCTTTCAGCGATGCTGAAGGCCAAACAAATCCGTTGAAGAGATGATAAAATCAAAAAATCAAACAGCCAAACATGGAAAAAAACAGAACTATGCATGGGGAAGACACATTCCTAAATTTAAAATAATTGAAGACTAATGTGAAAACTCAAGTTCACTTTTTATTCAGAGTATCCTAACAGATGAAGATGTGTCTGATGTACCGGTTCTTGTTCTTGGTAACAAAATAGACAAAAGAGGTTGCTATGGTAAAGAACAACTTATCAAAGAGCTTGGAATAGATCAACATTTATCTAACAGTGTAAGTTTACGTAAACATTATGAAAAGGATCGATATTATGAAAATGTTAGGATAACTATCGATAACTATCGATAATATGAAAATATAAGTACCGATGTTTTAGTATGCACGATTGAATATTCTGAGTGAGAAAATCCCAGTATAACGGACCTAAATACCGAAACGTCCTAATGTAAATGTAGGCTGACACAGACACGCACATTTAGTTTTTCTTATTCAGAATCATAAAGTAATCCATAATGTTGATTAAACGAATAAATAGGCAATAAGATTATAATTATTTTCATAATATTTTGAAATATTCAAGTTCAAAGATAAGATAACACAAGAATCGAGAAAAACCAGCAGCAAAGAGGAATCATTTGCAATATTTTATCTATTATTTCTTTTCGTATCATTTATACAAACATGTCGAAAATGTTAGCGACCTAGACAATGAATATCAAACTTCTTACAAATGAGTATTAAACAAAATTTAATAACTATGACACAAATAACTATAAGTTAAACAGATAGATGCGATTGCTTTGTTAAACTTGTTAAAACACTAATCAGTGAAAGTGTAAGCTATACTTTACGGGCAAAATAATCACTTACTTTCGACTCTTCCTCAAAATTCATGCATTATGATACTTATAAAGTCGTATATATCTCCGGCAAAGTTGACCTTAGACTTTTTGGCAGTTCTGTGAAGGTTTTTTTTAAATATATTTGGCACATTGATCGTTATGATCCGGATTATACCGAAAGAAGATCATTCCGTATACTTTAGTCATTTTACAACTGAAGACGAAAAACCTCAAACAAAACGCGAGGAAATTCTTGATCTCCAAACGTTACGAGACTGGTCATTCTACTGTGCATACCGAATTTCAGAATTCTTATGATTAAAAACAATACTTTGTCATAATACATTGTGTGATGAGTTACATAGTTATTTGTTACATTATTGTTATTAGGACAAACGACAATTTTACCGAAAGGTCACTCTAAAGAATTATACAAAACTGGTAATTTAAAAAAAAATCGTTCTTGCATTTAAATGGTACTCGATGATATTTCAGCCAATTACAGTACATTTACTCTTATATTTTACTTTGTCTCATTTATATTCCGTTCATTAAATCGCTGTAAAATTTCAAAAATTCTCCATTCATTCAAAGGTAAATACAGAAGACAAGTCCGGAATCAGACCATGTACCTTAGTAATGAGCAGTCTTTTACACCAAACAGGTTATGGCGATGGTTTGAAATGGATGGCCACACAAATTCATGAAGAAGACCGAATAAATAACAATTCAACCACTGTGACAGTAACATCTTCTTAATAGCGGGGCCTCGGTGGCCAAGTCTAAGTAGTTCATCTACTGGATCACTAGCATGTGACACTCACGTGGCAGGTGCGTTCGACTCCGATCTTAATTGATTAGGAACGTCAGTTATTTTGCCGAAGGAAGGTGATTCTCTTCGGGCACTCTGGCTTCCTCCTCCAAGTAAAACTGACAGAAAGTGGCGTTGAACACATACAATCAATCAATTAATCATTTTTTTCATATATATACAAATATATATATACAAGTCTAAATTGAAAACAACGTTCAAACCTATGATTGCGTTGGATAAAAACCGCAATTTTTATACGTGTGCATGCAAAACAAATTTCTTGTTAGAGGGGTCTAAATACAGCACAAACAACATTTTCCAAAAGACCAAAAAAGTGAAAAAGTATATTTTAACAAAACGCATTTGACTAACAGGTCGAAAAACAATGTCCATATATATATATATATATATATATATATATATATATAAAATGACTGAATAATAGCCAACGATAAATCTTACGGGGCGATGGATCATATAAATATGATACAGTACACTACAAAATATAATATATAACCAGTCTAAAAGGGTACAACATCACCAAAAAATGACAATAAACGAACAAATGTAACTATAAATATTTCGGATAAGACATCGTGCTCATACTGATGAAGGATATCTGTTATCCGAAATATTTATAGTTACATGTGTTCGTTTATTGTCATTTTTTGGTGATGTTGTACCCTTTTAGACTGGTTATATATGATATATATATATAAGTCTAGAGATTTGCACAACGATACTAATATAAGATGTATATATATATATATATATATACATATATACAGCACAAACAACATTTTCCAAAAGACCAAAAAAGTGAAAAAGTATATTTTAACAAAACGCATTTGACTAACAGGTCGAACAACAAATGTTCTTAAACCCTGCTGACTGCCATTGGCGATTGCCAAATAAACGGATCACCGATGTAATAAATGGATCTTAAATATAAATTTAATACTAAACAGAAAACAAAAAAACTTGCGGAAAAGATGTTATACCGCAAACAAAAGGTGCAAAGGTTTTTGTACACCATATCCGGATTTCGACAATTAATGTCTCTTCAGTGATGTTAGGAATCGAAACGGTATTTGGAAAGCCATACAATTTACCTCAATTTAGGATAGACTCCTGAATTTTGAGGAGTCAAAATAGGATGAACGGATCATATAAACCCGAAGGCAAATATAATACAAGCCCAAACGAAAAAATATAAACAAGTCTAAATTGAAAACAATGTTCAAACACGTATAAAAATTGCGGTTTTTATCCAACGCAATCATAGGTTTGAACGTTGTTTTCAATTTAGACTTGTTTATATTTTTTCGTTTGGGCTTGTATTATATTTGCCTTCGGGTTTATATGATCCGTTCATCCTATTTTGACTCCTCAAAATTCAGGAGTCTATCCTAAATTGAGGTAAATTGTATGGCTTTCCAAATACCGTTTCGATTCCTAACATCACTGAAGAGACATTAATTGTCGAAATCCGGATATGGTGTACAAAAACCTTTGCACCTTTTGTTTGCGGTATAACATCTTTTCCGCAAGTTTTTTTGTTTTCTGTTTAGTATTAAATTTATATTTAAGATCCATTTATTACATCGGTGATCCGTTTATTTGGCAATCGCCAATGGCAGTCAGCAGGGTTTAAGAACATTTGTTGTTCGACCTGTTAGTCAAATGCGTTTTGTTAAAATATACTTTTTCACTTTTTTGGTCTTTTGGAAAATGTTGTTTGTGCTGTATTTAGACCCCTCTAACAAGAAATTTGTTTTGCATGCACACGTATAAAAATTGCGGTTTTTATCCAACGCAATCATAGGTTTGAACGTTGTTTTCAATTTAGACTTGTATATATATATATATATATAGATAATTACTCTAAATATCATATTTATATTCATTTCTGTATATATCATGTTCATACATCTTCATCATTAATTATCATGAGTTATTGTTAGTTATCATCACTATTTATTTTCACAAAGAATTATTTTATTCCTGTCATTAATTTTATTTTGTATACATTGTTTTTATTTATTTTTGTCTGTTTTGCTACTGAAGAATAAATGTTTATAAAATTTAACCTTTCTTTATATTAGTTGTTTGTGAAAGGTTTTGTGCTTAGATATTTCGATTGGTATAAGAACTAACAGATAGATCTCGACCAAGCTGTTATGGATGACTGTATCAAATTTTGATTTCAAGTGGGACCAATTATTAATCGTCAAGTCATACAAAAATTGCAATTTTGGTGCTTCAGTTTGTTCAACATTTTTTTCCTTCCTCTTAATGTTGGACTGCTGGTGACATAAGCAGCTCATTATGACTGAAATATACTGATGAATTTAAATATGAAACGGAATCAAGCTTTTTGAGTCCACATTGTTGAAGAAAATAAAGTTCGTTCACTAAAGAGTAGATATAGTGAAAACACATCTGTAGGTAAATTGTATTCATGACAAGTACCATAAAAAAAGGACAAAAAAAAAGCAAAAAACAAAAAAAAAATCAAACAAACGATAGCTAGATTTGAATTCAGCAGTTTGTCCACGTCGTGATAATTTTGAAGTCAGTTGTATGTCACGTATGTCTGTGATCTGTGTCACGTTAACCAATTATGTCTGTATATGTGGATTGTCCAATTTTTGTGAACATAACGGAACTATAAACAACTGTCATACAAGTGGGAGGTTGATCTAGCTATGAAATCAGGTTTAAGCGGCTCATTATGACTGAAATATACTTCCATATAAGCGGGAGGTTTGGCTAGCCATAAAACCAGGTTCAATCCACCATTTTTTTTCTTAAAATGTCCTGTACCAAGTCAGGAATATGGCAGTTGTTATCAGATAGTCCGTTTCTATGTATGTTGGCGTTTGCTTTTGTTGTAGTTCAGTGTGTCTGTTGTTCTGTTGTTTTCCTCTTATAGTTGATGTGTTTCCCTCGGTTTTAGTTTGTTACCCATATTTGTTTTCGCTTAATCGAATAATGACTATTGAACAGCGGTATACTACTGTTGCTTTTATTAATCCACTACTTTCTTCAAAAAATGTATGTACCAAGTCAGAAATATGACAGTTGTTTTCCATTCGTTCCGTTGGTTAATATAGTCAGGCGTTTGAATTTTTCAGGTGTTATGGGCATCCCACTTTTGGAATTTAGCCTGGAGTTGGGAATTGTTTGTTAATACGTTTTTATAGTTGAGTCGTTTTAAAGGATGTTTACCACTTTTAAAAACTTAAGCAAAATCTACACATTAAGGTTTCCTCACATATGATTTTATGTTTTTTACTTTCATAAATGTGAATACAAGGATGTGTCACGTATGCGTTATAAACAGCAACCCAAGCACAAAATAATCAAGAGGACAACATAAAGTCTTCAACAACAGACAGGTATGCATACAATATGTCAAGTTTCTAAAGAAAGCTGCCTCTTGCATTATAAAAATATTGTATTAATAATAAAAATATTAGTTTACAAATATCCTTATTTGAAAAAACGTTCATATAGAGAGATAGACGTATAAATATATATGTTTTTTATGGCTTGTTCATTTTATTCGTTAAACCAAATCCAGAAAATATTAATTTGTGGATAAGGCAAATAGTTAATTTGAAGACATAAACTACTTTTAAATCACATCAGACGTTGGCATTTCTTTGATGGTTTAATGTTATATGGCTTGGAACACTTGTGGTTTTGAATAAAGTACCACGTGCACTGAAATCCTTTTTATTTTCCAATTGTGTTCCTTATCTTGTAGTGCCATTAACGCTTTGTCTGGATTTGAAAGATGCACCCATGTTAATAAGTGAATGATAACATGTGCAAATAGTATGTTCATTAAAAAATCGCCCGAGATTTTAATTTTGATTAACAATAGCATGTTGTAATAGTCCACATTATGCATGCGCTTATGAGTTCTAGGAAGAAGAACACATGTTGATTTCCTTTGTTATTGTTTGTTAGGTGTTTTTCGTGTAAAAAATCTTGATATTTATGTAAAAATAACTCATGAAACATACCAGGCCAGACGTGCGTATCGTCTACAAAAGACTCATCAGTAATACTCGAATCAAAAACAGTTAAAAGACCAAATAAAATACGACGTTGAAAAGCATAGAGGACCCAAATTATAAAATATTGCCTTCTACAAACTTAATGTAATTGTCTCAAACAAAAAGTCCAGTGGCTCCGAAACGTGCATGTTCCTTTCATTTCTGGCTTTAAAAAAATAGATTTGGACATTTTTTACAGCACTGGGTCGATACCTCTGCTGGTGGACTTTTAGTCCCCAGGGTATCATCAGATCAGTAGTCAGTACTTCGGTACTGACATGATTTATAACAAACATTTCTAAAATTGTCCGTTTATAAATTTTGAAATTATAAAGGAAACTGAGGTTTCAATTCCCTCAGGCAAAGTTGACCTTAAATGGATTTGGCTATTTTTAGGTACTTTTGGTTATATAGCTCTTCAACTGTTTCGGTTCTTATACATTCTTGGCTTTCAAATATTCGGCTTTGAGCGTTCCTGATGAAGGTAAATCCAGAAAAGCGCTTCGGACGCATTAAATTTATAACGTGTTGGTTTAATTTTTTGAAGCTTTTGTACTAGATGAATATTAACGCGGATGTTATCGACGGCTAGCTTCACACTAGTAGTTTTTGTGCATATAGCCCGGTTTTTGGTGGGTTCGACAATCGTTTTGCCAGTCTTTAGTTTTGTTGTTTGTGTTTTTGTCGTTTTTTGTTTTGTTTTTTACCATGGCATTGTCAGTTTGTTTTCGACTTGTTTGACTATCCCTTGGCAATCTTCTGCCTCTCTTAAAGAGTTGTAACACTAAAATACAAATGTTTAACTTAGAATGTTTAGACTATTCTGTCAGGCCTCTGTTCGATGTACGTTATTAACTTAACTGTATTGTAACGTATTAGGTTGCCTTTAATTGCTTACATCCACTTCATTTGAACATTGGTTGATAGTTGTCTCATTGGCAATCATACCACGTACATCTCCTGATTTTTATACAAACGAAATAAATTACTCAAAGGTGTTATATTCAAAATCTATAATCATAAGTAACGTGTTGTATCTGTTCTATAAATAGATTTCATAACACATCTATACTTACATTAATAACAAATGAATAAATCAAGGTGATTTTAGTTTTTTTAATTGTTACCTATTTTCCTTATACTTAATACTTTATATGAAAGGAAAATACCCATTGTGAAATTAAATAGTAACGATTTGTCGTCGTGTATTATACATATCGATCATTGCCAGCGTGGATACCGTTACATGTTTGGAATGACGGACATATTTAAAAATAGAACAAGAAATAGTGTATATAAAGAATACCAACATTAACTAAATCAATTATTTTATGTATGCAAAGAAATATTCACAATGTTTTTGTTTGACTGGTTTAGAACTATATTGCAGTATTTCGGTAGGTTTATAATATTTTTTATATTTTATATTTTTTATATCATAAAATTATGTTATAATTGTTTATTTATTATAATATAAGTTTTTCTTTTATCTTGTTTTGTTGGTTAAAATATCTTGCTGATTTAGGATATTAAAATTTTGAAAGGGAATCAAAAATTTTGAACATTAATGAGCAGTCTTTTCAAGATGAAATAAAATAATATAGTTATCGCTATCGTTCACTGATGATTGGCGAATTATGAATGGGATTGATAATAAACTAACGTAAATGCCAGATTAATACATGTTTTTTTAGGATTTGATCAATGCAAATCATGCTATTGCATTTAAATACGAGTTTTAAATCATGGAAAAACCTTTCGCAGTAATAAAAACATCATAAACATGTCTGAATTGACAGCGTTGATATAATTTTCTATGAATTATAACTTTGATTTATAGAATATTTACATAGACATTTGTTTAACTCAAAGTATAAAAATAAGACTTTTGAATGTAGTACTTCCGAAGCGCTATTTCCCAGGTACGCTTAAAAAATGAAAGCCGAGGATGTTTAAAATACGTGAGGAGCTATATAACAAAAAAGGAATTTAAACAGAAAAGCCAACAAAATTTAAGGATAACATTGTCGCAGAAAATTCCACTGAAATTCAAATTTGCCAAAAAAAGACTACACATTGACAAAGTACATTCTAAAGTTCTTGTTCGTTAATTAACATGCTGATTATCTGTTCTGTTTTTTCAAGTTTATGAACAGTATAATACACTGATGCAGAATGAGGTGACGAAAGAAAAGGATATAGATATACAACCATATAAGGGAAACGAAAAATGGCCTTTCACTTGAGTTCGCAAAATACAATATTAATTAAGTTTACCATTGTAGGTTTCATCAACAAGAAATGCAAATTGCTCATCATAGGACTAGATAACGCAGGCAAATCAACCCTTCTGTCGAAGATAAAAGATGGACGTCTCGTGCAACATCCACCAACAAATCAACCATGTAAGTTGTGTTTATATACACAGTATTACTATAGGATGTGACTGTCAATTTGTTATATTATTTTAATTACGCCAGACATAGAATTTGATAGGATAAAGTTCAAGACTATGCTACCTGTTAGCTGTTCAACTTATACAATGAGGGTTCAATGTAAAAACGATAATAAAACATAAATTTTGTATTCATTTAGTTTAAGTTTGATTCCAAAGTACTCATTTATCACTTGTCGAGTTTGAGGACGATTCAGGGCAGATACTTTGAAAACCCTGTGTTACTTCTAGTTTTTAGAATTTGTTACAGTACTTTGACCTATAATTGTTAACTTTTTATACATTGTGACTTGGATGGAGCGTTGTCTCTTCTTAATAATATCATATAGGTTGCATCGACGTATACTTTATATTTCCGTTTTAATACATAAACACACGGTTGTGTAGATATACAAAGTCCAAGTCAAGTGTCAGGCCAAACATTCTTCAATAAAGTTAAGTTAACATACTAAATATCCATAAAAACTAGAACAGAAAAGACGAGGTAAAAATGAATTAAAAAAAAAGATAAACAGGATGAAACTTTACAGCAAGAAACTACAACCACTAATTACAGGCTTCTGACATGGGACAAGCACATACAGAATGTAGCATTGATTTGTTTATACCATCTTAATCTTCTTGCATTGACAACATAATACCAACAATATATTTTTCAATTTATTCATATACTAGGGTCGGAGGAGCTAACGGTGGGAAAAGTGACTTTCCAAGCGTATGATCTAGGAGGACATGCATCAGGTAATTATCAAATAAAAACCATTGAAAAACATACATATACCTCCAGTCATCTGAAACTAAAATTGATTTCATGTATTTAAGGGTTGACGGTTTAAGGAAGAAGAAAGTACGACAGAGATAAATCACAGACCTGCCAACCATCACTATTTATGGGGGATTTCCCCAATGAGAGGTGTTGACCTGAATTTTGAAATTCTTTATTATACAAACTAAACACCTCAAAACAGGCATTCAAATGAGTAGGAATTGCATTTTAGCACATACATACTCATTCAAATAATATAGTAGTAGATTAAAAACACTTATGACAATATAAGAGGAGCATTAGTTCTTCTTGCTCTTAAATTCCTCCATGGAGATTTTGAAAAGTTGGCCGGTATGAAACCACAATGTACACATCTGTCTTAGTACGGGAAATATGTTTAATGACAGAATAACATGATTTTTTGAAGAAATTTCGTGAAAAATAAAAAAAGATTTCAAAGAATAATATTATACATTCAAATAATAAAATTTATATCTAGCAAAATTAATATTTGAATTTGAGATTTAAGAACGTACGCAATTCAGCTGTCAAATAAACTAGCATGTTAAATAAAAAATAATCTGTTCCTTTTGCTAACTGGTCTATACAATTAAATACGAAAGAATTTGTTAGAGTTCAACAATGAGTAGTTGCTAACAATAATTGTGTATAATTGTGGCATTTATTTTAACAGCACGACGAGTTTGGAGAACATATTTCCCAGCAGTTGATGGTATAGTGTTTATTGTTGATGGGTGTGACATTGAAAGATTACCAGAGGCTAGAGCAGAAATAACTGTAAGTCATGTATAATGCTAAAACACACGAAAAATCATGCGTCAGAATCAGTAAAATAGTTATAATATTTAAACCTAAAATCCTGTGTTTATAAAGATCTGCAATGCTTACAATATTTCACAATCTAACAATTTAAACTTGATCCGGCTTTTTCTGAAATCTATTCAAAAATATTTAAAATATTTTCACATAGCACGGAGGGTCCTAATAAGCTTTTTTCATAGAAGAGGTCGAATATACATAAAACTCAACACTAGTTTATCAATTAACTGCTTACGTTCTTATACCTTGGTCTCAGAACCACATGTCTTATATAAATGGAAGGTAACTATAGTTTGCCAATATTCAAAACTCGTACATTAAAAAAAACAAGAGCAAAAACCTGAGGGAAAAGTTGATGGAGACCGGATGCATCGATAAGGTATATAAAGTCTTGCTTGCATTATAGAATAAATCTTCAACCTATTGATGTCATAGAAGTTAAAATCCTATAATGTCGTTTTATAAGGCGTTTTATGCCCTTCAAATTGAATAATATAAGCCGTTAGCTTGTAAACAAGTTTACAATTGCGGTCTTTCCTTTCTGTATAAAAAGCAATTGTGGATAATTATAATAGATAATTAGTGTATTGTCATGACATAGAAGTTCCTTCATAGAATAAGTTCCAAATGGAAAACAATATTCTGGAATATTATTTCCACTGGAACAAATATTACAGTATTTGTTCATAACGGAATAAAAAGTATAGAATATTTGTTCCAACAGGAACAGATTATATGGCATTATGCATAACAAAGTTTCTAGGGAAACTTCTGTTAGGCGGAACAAATATACACTGACATATGAGCATGGGAAGTTCATTTTGAATATCCAATTATTTTATCAGCGTTGGAATGTGCATACCAATGTATCTATTTATGAGAAAAAGTTCTATATTATGTAGACAATTAATGTATCACATTTATCATTTTCACTATTTCATTAATCAGGTTCACATTTTATTCAGGGTATTCTAACAGACGAAATAGTGTCCGATGTACCGGTCCTTATACTTGGTAACAAAATAGACAAACGTGGTTGCTATGGTAAAGAACAACTTATCCAAGAGCTTGGAATAAACATGCATTTATCGGAAAATGTAAGTATGACAGTATTGATTATTACAGTATGCATGATAAAACAGATAGACAAATAGGTGTCGAAAAATATTATAAGTTTTTGTGATGTCTCATTGAAGTACCGTAGATTACTTAATATTCGTGGTGAACCAATTTTCGAGGATTTGGTGGATGGGCGGGGAACCATTAATTTAAATACTAAATTACAGCATACCTTTTCTTTAATTTTCTTTATATCATTAATATCCTGTCCAGTAAAACAAATAAATTCACAAATTTTGCACTTATAGGTAAATACAGAAGATAAATCCAGCACCAGACCATGTACCTTAGTAATGAGCAGTGTTGTACAACAAATTGGATATGGTGATGGCTTTAGATGGATGGCCTCACAGATACAGGACAATGGTCGAAATAACTGAGAGAGCGCATATATAACAGACTGTTTAAGAACACCCATTTGTTCATACATAATGTACATAAAAATGAATACTTAATAGTAATTTATCGTCCTCATTTTTTATATCTGTATTGTTGATTCATGAAATCGTATTATTTATTTGTTGACTTTTTACATATATTTATTTTTTATCTGTTTTATTAGTAATGAAAAATAAATATAATAAACATATTTTTTTTAAATTTATCATTTCAATCTAGTAGTAAAGTGTAACGTTTGAAGAAATTGGAAACAAATGTTTGTTAGGAATATGAACCAACAGGTTGATGACGACAAAACCAAATGCAAGGGCTATATCAAATATATTCCATGTCTTGACTTAAAGGGAAGGAAATTCGTACTCGAGTCAACAATAATTTCACAGAATTGTTGTTCGTTAGTCAATTCACCGTTGGGAAGGTTGGCATGTTTTTTTTCAAAATATATTATTCATATGTTCATTCGAATTCAGAAAAACAAATCATCTAGCAGATTGTGAGGTATAACGAGTCATTGTATATGAAATGCTTGAAAAGCTAACATTTCAGATGTAACTCAACTGTTTCGCAATGGAATAAAATTGAGAATGGAAATGGGGAATGTGTCAAAGAGACAACAACCCGACCATAGAGCAGACAACAGCCGAAGGCCACCAATGGGTCTTCAATGCAGCGAGAAACTCCCGCACCCGGAGGCGTCCTTCAGCTGGCCCCTAAACAAATATGTATACTAGTTCAGTGATAATGGACGTCATACTAAACTCCAAATTATACACAAGAAACTAAAATTAAAAAAGATACAAGACTAACAAAAGGCCAGAGGCTCCTGACTTGGGACAGGCGCAAAAATGCGGCGGGGTTAAACATGTTTTTTGAGATCTCAACCCTCACCCTATACCTCTAGCCAATGTATAAAAAACAAACGTACAACAGTACGCACAGATAAACTCAGTTTAAGAGAAGTCCGAGTCCGATTTCAGAATAGGAAACAAAAGAAAATAAACAAAATGACAATAATACATAGATAACAACAGACTACTAGCAGTTACTGACATGCCAGCTCCAGACCTCAATTAAACTGATTGAAAGATTATGTCTTCATCATATGAATATCAGGCACAATCCCTCCTGTTAGGGGTTTAGTATTATACCATCATAAAATATATGAGAAGAACATAACCCGTGTCATGCCAACAACTTGTTTTTAGAATAAATATGTTTAATTCCGATGCAAAGACCCTATAAGTGAATCAATATTAAAGCCAAAATATGCAATCTTTAATGACCTGACAACAGCAATACATTTATGTCAACGTTGATATTAATGTTTTTATTCGAGCGTAACTGACGAGTCATGTACTCGAAACGCGTGTCTGGCATACATAGTTATAAGTCTGGTATCTTTGATATTTTTTTTTTGCTGTTGACATTTGTCGTCTTACTCCTTTTAAAATGCAATGAAATGTAATATATGTGATAAAAAACCATGTAATCGTGCGTAGGTAGGCGTCTAAGCATAAGAGTTTGAAAATTCACACACCATCAGTGCTTTTTTTTTTCAAAATAAAGTAAAATTTAAGAAGAATAAAACATATATTCAATAAGATAAGCAAAATGTAAACAAAAGAAAATAAAAAGACAAGCTAAGGTATTCTGACAAAACAATGGTGTCCAATGAACCGCATTTTATTTTTAGAAGGAAATCAGACACGCGTTGTTGCTATGACAATGGACAACCTATCAAGAATGTAGGAGAAATTATACCTGTTAATGAAAGTAACTATTTACTATAAGTTTTGATATCATAAGTAGGCACGCCGTTAAATATTCTGAATGAAAAAAAACCGGAATAAATGAACTAGATACTACGAAAGCCTATTAGGGTCACAAAAAAAAATACTTATCGCGTAATTACGAAATAAATATCTCGTAATTACGAGAAAACTATCGCTTAATTACGAGATAATCCTTTTTTATCTCGTAATTACGAGATAATCATTTTTTATCTCGTAATTACGAGATAATCATTTTTTATCTCGTAATTACGAGATAATTATCGCGTAATTACGCGATAATTTACGAGAAAACTATCGCGTAATTACGAGATAAGAAGTTTTTTTATCTCGTAATTACGACATAATTATCGCGTAATTACGAGAAAACTATCACTTAATTACGAGATAATCATTTTTTAATCTCGTAATTTCGAGATAATCATCGCGTAATTACGAGAAAACTATCGCGTAATTATGAGATAATCATTTTTATACGCCCGTTTACGGGACGTATTATGGTATACCGTTGTCCGTCTGTCCGTCTGTCCGTCCTTCGTCAACATGTCGGACATTAACTCAAAAACGCTTTAACTAATTTGCATAAAACTTTGGTGAATTGTTTATGTCTATTGACATGAGCTCCCTTTCGTTTTTTATAAATTTTAGATTATACGTTTCCGAGTTATGGGGTTTTATTCATAAAAAAGGGTGATTTTCCAGTTTTTGGACAAAAAAAAAATGCTTTCAGCAGTTCTTATAAAACTTTGGTGAATTGTTTATATTTATTGATGTAAGCTCTATTTAGAATTTTATAAATTTTTCATTTATCATTTCTGAGTTATTGGATTTTATTCATTAAAAAAGGGGTGATTTTTCAGTTTTAGGACAATAACTCAAAAATACTGTCAGCAATTCTCATGAAACTTTGGTGAATAGTTTATATCTATTTATGTAAGCTCCCTTTACATTTTCATAAATTTCTAATATGACATTGAGAATTAATTGAACTTTGTTTGTTTATAGTCTGACAACAGATTTACTAAGTATTGCGCAACAGCACAGTGTATTGCACAACAGCAAGAAATCTTTAATTAAATATAAATTCAATTCATATAACCAATTTCAAGTTCTTTGACTACATTTATTCAGAAACTTATAATATGTCAAATATTTAATTACAATCCAAATTCAAACCTGTATCAAGCTTGAATATTGTGTCCATTTTTGCCCCAACTGTTCAGGGTTGGACCTCTGCGGGCGTATCGAGCTGCGCTCAGCAAAGCAATTTATTTTATCTCGTAATTATGCGATAGTTTTCTCGTAATTATGCGATAATTAACTCGTAATTACGCGATATTTTTCTCGTAATTACGCGATAATTATCTCGTAATTACGAGTTAAAAAATGATTATCTCGTCATTACGCGATAGTTTTCTCGTAATTATTTCGTTATTTCGAGAAAACTATCGCGTAATTACGAGATATTTTTTTTTTTTTGTGACCCTAATAGGCTTTCGTAAGATACCGATACATCGATAACAAATATAATTTGTCCTGACAATTGTGTGAACTTCTTTCTTCAAAGATGTCGAGAGAAATAAAATATTACTAAATATAATGTATCAGAGGTTAGAATCCAATCAATTATCGAATAAAGGTCAGAAATATTCTGGACATGTTAACTTCTATGTCATTTGGTCTCTGGTGGAGAGTTGTCTCATTGGCAATCATACCACATCTTCTTATTAGTCCCCTACCGACGAAGTCGAAGGGGACTTTAGGTTTGCACCCTGTCCGTCTGTCTGTCCGTCTGTCCGTCTGTCCATCCGTCAGTCCGGCAAAACAGTTTTCCAGACTTTTTTTCTTAATGCTTGAAGATATTGATTTAATATTTGGTGCAGTGTTTTATCATGACAAGTTACAGGTCAAGTTCGATTTTCACGATTTTAGCTTTTCTCCTTGTTCAGTTAAAGCCCTTTCCCTAGAATTAAATTTTTGATGAAATACTTATTAATTACTAGATTTCTATTTCAAGGGAATTAACTCATTTTTTAACTTTCCCTAGAATTAAATTTTTGATGAAATACTTATTAATTACTAGATTTCTTTTCAAAGGGAAATAACTCATTTTTTTTTTTTTTAAAGATTTGTAAAAGACATTGTATTAAGATAAATGACATTTTGGATTTTTTTCCTTTTCTTTAGTAAACTGTTTGAAGAATTTAGTGGTAGGTTTGCTCCATTACAATGAATTTTTAACCGGTAGGGGACTATGTATTGCCATGCAATACTCACAGAATGCTTGTTTTTATATGAAAATAAAATATAGATGATTGAAAATATCGATATAAAATATAGAAGAAAAACATTTTTTGTTTGTATACAGGTATACCTGTCTTTGCTTTGGATCTGATATACTTTTTGTAAGTATTTAAAAATTACTTACATTTATTTAACGAGTTACAACTCAATACAACCGCATCTCACGATAGATTGCTCGACAAGGGAGAGATGTTGGTGGTCAGAGGTTCACTTCATCAGAAAGACGGACAACACCATTATCAAAAAGAAAATAATAGCCGAAAAGACATACAACAGATCACAAACAATATCCAAATAGCTTTGATTGAGCAACCCCATGAAAAAACCGATGGTGAAGTCAGGTGCTACGGAGTTTTATTGTCACAATGTATTCAAAAACAATACAGTTATTTATTATTTTAACTGTGTTTAATTCGTATCCTGTCCTTCGAAAAAATAAATCACAAAATATGAATATTAAGAGATAAATACGGAAGAAACACACTGGCTCAGATCATGCACTTTATGAACAGTCGTGTACGAGAAATTAATGTGGTGCTGGATTGAAATAGATCACGATCAGGGACTCTTTTCACAACAAATCTTATAAATAAAGTAGATTGTAAGTTATACTGAAATGTTCATGACCTACAAGTATTTTTCTCGTAACATTTCTTGGGAAATGAGTCGCAGAACCAGAATAACACACGCAGAGTAGTTCAATCGGAAGTACTCCGATATTCCACTTTTAAGAGTTTGATTAGATCGGTTGGTATAAAAGATTTACAAGATTGAGTACTATTGTAAATGATCAAAGACAGAATTCAGTTATACTAATTAGATTGATATTTTAATGAATGGATTTCTACATATCTTGGGTTTGAAGGGGAAGAAAATGGTTGGGTATATCGATTTCTTAATAAAATTAAGGATGAATTGTTAATGAACAGATCGA